TATGGAAAGAGTCATTTTATTTTGGTTGCTGCACAATTTTTAAAATTAGTCTCAGTGTGTTGTAATCAGTTCTCCCATCCTCAAGCTCTTCATCAGCATTCAGTTTCTGACCACAGGACCAATTAGGACAAGACTAATTCTTGGACAAAACCGAAAGTCAGGAGACGCTGACAATAAATAAAAACAGATTACACTAAATAAACTCATCAAATTATTACAGCATGTAGGCTACAGTATGTGCCAAAAAGTCCAATGTCCGTGACAACAGAGAACAATTGGTCCTCTAAGGCAATGAATTCCATTTTTGTGCTTTGGCACTTTTTTTTTGAGATGTCTTTCCTAGTGAAGACGTTCTTGGTCATTGTACTCCCTTCTGATACCTGCCATAAACATAATTATAATATGGTTGTCTAATGTCCCCTACACTTTGTTATAGTCTTACTTAATAATTTGGGTTTTTTGGTGAACAGTTTTGGCCCTTTTTCTCCCATCTTTGGCCAAAAATTCAGTGCATCCCTAAGACGAGTAATATTTGGCTTTCAATCAATTGGTTTCATGTTAATACATTCACAAAGCAGGTTAATTTACTGAAGTGTGTACTTTTTACATCTAAGTATGAAATCTTTGACCTTTAAAATTCAATAATTCAATTTTGGAAAATTTTAGTTCAATATAGTGTTCTCAAATTCCTATCAAACATTTTGATTATTAATCAAAAAATATATATTTAATACTTATTTTGCATTTAATATATTCTTATAATTAGTACAATAATGAAATATTTCACTATGAGTTCAACATGCTTCGGAAATAAATATCCTTTCTGGAGGCCTTTTTGACCGTATACCAGGGGTGCTCCGGTCCTGGAGGTCCAGCAAAGTTTGGAGGTTTACCTACTCAAACACACTCACTAAACCTGGCAATTAACAGATAAATGCAATCAGGTGTGTCTGAGCAGGTAAATCACTGAAATGTGCTGGCCATCAACCCTCCAATTACATGTTCTGTTGATTGTCATTTTTATTTGTTTCGGAAATAGTGACAACAAACAACATTCAGTCCCGTTTAATTATACTGATCACAAAATTGTCCCACTCTTCCATACAGACTTTATTTAAAACAGCACAATAAAAAAAAACAAAAAGCACAATTAAGAGTAATAAAATGTAAATTTGTTTCTCAGCTTTGAGCATAATCATTTTAAATTCATTCCTTCTAATAGAAACTCACAGTCATCACTGACCAGTCGTGACACTAATGCACACATGGCAAATTGGAAGTTAATAACACAAAATAAAATAAATAATTGATAATGATATGCATTGAAATAATAGCCATCTGTTCAAAGCAAACAGATTAAAAGCATCTGTGTGGAATAGCATTAGAGTAATTTGAAACACATGTTTATGCTCCTCTGTGCACAACATGTTTATTAGAAATGAGTGTCTGTCTCTCTGTCTATCTATCTATCTATGCATCTATTTATGTGTCTGTCTGTCTATCTATCTGTCTATCTATCTATGTACCCATCTATATGTCTATCTACACTATATGAATAAAAGTGTTGGGACACCTACATGTTACACCTACAGGAGCTTTTATGACATCCCATTCTAAATCCATAGGCAATAATGTGGAGTTGGTCCCCCCTTTGCAGCTATAACAGCTTCCAATCTTCTGGGAAGCTTTCCACAAGATTTTAGAGTGTGTCTGTGGGAATTTTTGCCCATTCACCGAGAAGATCATTTGTGAGGTCAGACGTGATGTTTGACGAGAGGGCCTGGCTCACAATCTCCGTTCTACTTCATCCCAAAGGTGTTCGATAGGGATGAGGTCAGGGCTCTGTGTGGGCCAGTCAAGTTCCTCTTCACCACACTCACCCAACCATGCCTTTATGGACCTTGCTCTGTGCACTGGGGCTCAGTCATGCTGGAACAGAAAAAGGTCTTCCCCAAACTGTTTCCACCATGTTGGAAGCACACAAATGTCCAAAATGTCTTGGTCTGCTGAAGCATTTCCCTTCACTGGAACTAAGGGGCTTAGGCCAACCCCTGAACAACAACCCCATAGCATTATCCCTCCTCCACCAAACTTTACAGTTGGCACAATGCAGTCAGGCAGGTAATGTTCTCCTGGCATTCGCCAAACCTAGACTCGTCAGACTCGCCTGAGTCAGCAGAGAGATCTGTCTATCTATCTATAGCCTTTATAATGTATGCAGATCCCTGATTTTTGCTTTGAACATATAACGCACAAACACATTTTTTACATTACTCATAAAAGTAGTTGATTAACAGTAAAGATAGATGAATTTCGAACTATTTATGCTGTCTATTTCTGAACATAAGAAAACATGTACTATTAATGATTTAAGCTTAGATGGATAAGGCCTGTACTTTCGAAGACAAAGACGTTGCCCTTTAATCCTAAACAGACTGTTCATTACAGGTCATTGAATGAACAAAGTGCTGATGTCATGAGCAATGAGCTTTGGCCAGTTGCATTACATTTAGAGCTTGGGAACAGCCAATATGCTCTTTAATAAAGCAGATTTAATGTGGGCGGCATGTCTCTGCTGTGCTGCTGTCACAGTTGGTTAATTGAAAATATGAGCTGTAGTTGCTTTGGGATAGATTACCCTGCATTAATTACAACGAGGCTTACTTATGGTTAAAGCAGATAAGAAACAATGAAGAGCATATTACAGAAAATGATACCTTTAGGACTGCTGCTTGATTTATTATGCATTATTCAAGTCCAAATAACTCAGAATCTTGTGCATGGAAATCTAAGGGTTTCCTTGGTGGTGTTCTGTCGTAGGTTTTCATGATACCAGAAATTTGATGCTGATTCCGATGGCAAGTCACAATGCTTAATACCAAAATGATGCTGTGGCAAAATGTTTTCAGCTTGACGCATTTGCAGCTCAACATCTAGGGGCATTTTTTACCATTGCTACATCTGTTGTAAACATGCTTGCACTCTCTAGTGTGAGAAATTCTGGTTTAAAGACTAAGAAAACCCCCTTCTGATGATAGGAGGAACTTGTATTTGTATTTTTCACTGGTTTAAAACATATTTGTTTGTTTGTTTGTTTCATTAGCTTATGAATGCAGATGGAAGGCAGATAGCTAGCATAATGATGCTTGGAAGCTAAATAACTGCAGTCAAATAACTTCGGAAACTGTCTTCAAATCATAATTACAATGAAAAGAAAGGATTACTCCAATGACAGAAAGGACTTCCTCAAATGAGGATGAAAACAAGGTAAAACAAAGTTAGCGAGGTAGCTAGGTGGCTATTAAGAAATCTTACCTCAGTTTAGCTTCTTTTCTTCGGTTAAAAGAGAAAAAGTTGTTATCACTGGTGTCCATTTTGTGCTGAATAAAGACAGAATCAATGATTTCTTTAGATTTTGTTCAATTATTGAGAAAGGAGAATTGCCACTAACCATTCAGCACTCAGCTGCAGTAATGCCAACCAATGAGCACTAAGTAGTAGTAATGCTAACATTCTTCTCCCCAAAACCTGTTTGCTGTAGGAAAAAGGAAATATACAGGTAAGCTTTCTATGCTTTTTCAGTGTAATACATCCTTCTACTTTCTAAAATTTATGGAAGGTCCTGGACAAGTAGGTAACCATTTTAGCTCCACTCACCCCCATTCATTGAGGACTTGCTCGCTTTTGCTGTAGTTTTTTGATATAATTGGAGAAACAGGAAGTGGCCAGACTTCTCTTAAACTGGCTCTGGCAAGTGTTACACTAACGCTAACCTGGTTGTTTTTATTAGCCTGTTGATCAGCAGCTAGGCTAGCTGTCAGGATTTGTCAGCGGCTAGGCCATCAGTCAGGATTGGGATTCCCAATGGTTGTACGGTGTATGTCCATAATGCATGCTGGGTATTGTAGTAGAGAACACTGATGAATGAAACCATGAGAACTATATAAAATCATGAATTCTGTCAAACCAACAAGGCACATGTAGGGCAGCACAATAAATAGTATTTTAATAATTATAATAACATGCATTTCCATTATAAACACGTTGTTATAGGCTAAGTACAGCACCAGAGTGATGCAACTGGATTCAGTAACTTCAACTAAACAGCCAGTTACAAATTACAGTCTTACAAAACACACCCAGCTCAAACTACTCTATCCTCAACCACCGCTCTGTAAAATCCTTCGAGTGTGATGAATATTCTCACTACCAGTGTTGGGTTGAAAAAGGTTTGTCATATAGCACCATAAAGCGTTTTTCTATTATTACGATATTAAGCTTGTTACAGTAGAAGAACCCTTTTTGGTGCTATTTAGAACCCTTTCTAAAAAGGTTCTACCTAGAACCATACACAACACACTCTCCAACAATCTGAAGCTATTTGTGATGCAAAGAGCCCTTTAATCATGTAAAGGGTTCTTTGAGTGTTCATGGTTCTATTTAGAACCGTTTTCTGTACTAAAGAACCCTTGAAGAACCATCTGTTTTAAGTGTGTATGCTTAAAATAGTGTGCCTCTGACTGGATGTCATAGTATTCATGATATCTACCATCTTTTCAAAGAGTATAGTTTATCACTCGCTTTGACATCCGCAGCTTTATCATCACATTTTATGTCCATATCAAGCAGCCGTAGGCTAAAATTGTTGGAAGCTCTGGAATTGTTTAGAGTATAAAAAAGCTCAGGACCTTTGATACATTGTGCAACATTGTTCTCCACATTTATTGTAAAGCATGTTGAACAAAAAAGTCTCAAAATAAAATGCATTAGTATCAAGTTAAAAGGTCTGAGTGGTATAATTGGAAGAAGTGGAATAATTAGTCTAAAACTATTTCAAAATGTACAGACTTACATTTAAATCTGTTTTACTGTGCTGTGCTCCTCAATACTTGCAGCACAGCTTCACTACAGAGGCCACTGAGAGGCCGTAGCTCATGGCTCCTCCTTCAGTGTTTATAAAAACATTCCAGCCAAGAGAGAGAGCCAGCGAAATTGAAACCCAAGACGTGGTCCCGGTTCTTGGCCACTTCCTCTCTTCTGTTCTCTTTCTCACACACACAGAGGCACAGAGGAGGGTTTAAGCCCTGCAGCAGCCGGAGCTGCGCAAGAAAGCTCTCAGCATCCTGGGACTTTTCAGACAGTTTTGCGGAGTTCCTGAAGCATTCCTCATCTGAAGCCACCATGAAAGCAGGCTTCCTCTTCTCCCTCTTTCTCTGCATTCTAGCTCAACTCTCAGAAGCCCAGTACCACTACCAGAGCCTGATGAACTACCTGGAAAGCCGGATGCTTGCCATGGAGGTAAGAACAAGCATTGTCCCAAATGCCCAGTATAACTTTTCTTATCTGCTCTCTGCAGTGCTACCAATTTTCAGCCTTGTTCACTTTCAGGACATATTACCTAATAAGCATTATCCCAAATGCCAGATACTTTCCCAGATGCGAGAGAAGCAGCTATTAGGGCTGTCACGATTCTCACTAAATCTGCAATGATTAGTTGTCAGTGTGCATGATGCTGAAGCATGTTTTAAACTGTCCCACTGCTTTCTCTTATAGTAAAAGCTAGATCCTGATGGACACACCCATTTATGTGGTTTATATTTTCACACAATACATTATATTATTATATAATTTTTGATATAATGCATCACATTATAATATTTGTTTATATACAAGCAGACACTGATGAATTAATCACAAAATAATCAGTAGATTACTTGGTATAAAATCAAAAGTGACAGTTCTCACAGCTATAGATTCAAGTGTTCCATTTGCAGCCACTTGAATGTTTCTTAGAGAGTCGGTGAGGAACATTTCGAAAACAAATCATCCAGAAAAATAAGCAGGGCATTAAGAGAATCGTCACAGACGGTTGAGTGCACACAGAAGCTTAAAATGTCAGTTATGCCTGAGTTGGTTAAAATGAGATTTGTTATAAACTTCTGCCTTCAGTGTTCTTCAGAACCCAATCACTCCAGCTCCACATGTTCAGACTAAAGCACTCCAATTATTGTGATTTCTCTCAGACTCATCACCCTAACTGCACCTTATAAGTATGGAATAATTAAATTGGAGCTCAGTGCTTCATTTCCATTCCTCTTGCTTTGTTTAGCATGCAGTGTCAGGCTCAACAGTGACTCAGTTAAGACTGAAGGGTTTAAACAACACACAAAAAAAAACTTGTGCTCTGAATTTGTATTTTTTTCAAAGAATTTTTAAATTTATTTTCAATTAAATAATAATAAGAATATTTTCAATTAACTAATAATAATAATAGTTATTATTATTATTATTATTATTAGTAGTAGTAGTAGTAGTAGTAGTAGTAGTATTTTCATGCACTTTTCATACAAGAAAACAGCTCAAAGTGCTTAAAAGCAGGTTAAAAGACAAAAGAGATAAAAAGGTATACATTTATATAAGATTACATGAACATGAAAGCAGGGAAAAAATAAATTAAACAAGCAATTAAACAAGAAACAATATAAAAAAGCAGGTATTGTAGTAAAATAAAGTAAGTAATAACATTAACGGTAATAATAATAGCAATATTGATGGAAATTTGAAATAAAAAATGAAAATAGCAATAAAAATAACAATCACTAATTAAAAACACATGCAGGAATACTAGCACTAAAAGTGAGTAAAAACAAAGAATCATGAAATGAATCATGAAAAACTAAGTTGTTAAAAAATCTGCTTTGTGAAATTATGTACTGATGTTGCCTGTCTAATCATGAGTTTCATTTAAAAAAAAAAAAAAACTTTAGTCCATAGGCAGAGCCTTATTTTAGCCACACCCCTGCACTTTACAGCAGGAAGTAGACTGCATCCCTGTCCCTCATGGCCACATGGTGAATTAGATCACATTGTTCTCAAGTAAATGTGTCCCAAAATCTGAAAATCAGCGTTTAACATTAAGAATTGTCACTCCCGAAACACATTTTCTGCAATTAAGTAAACTGTTTTGTGTTTTAATGAAAAATATGATCAGTTTATGTGTGTACAACTGTTGAAAAAGTTGTTGAGTTCTGCTCAAAATTAGTTAAAATTGTCACTATCAAAACATTTCATAAAGCTTCAGCAGTGTTATGATTGTATTGTTGGTGACAAAATGGAATGTTAAATCATTTATTTCACTAAAATAAACCTGACTAAGGTACACGGTCACTCAGGCAAAATTATTTTAGTCTAAAGTCCAAGTAAGTTAAAGGTCTTAAATGTGTTTTGCACTCTGACTTTAGTCTCATTCCTTAAGGACGCTTTACAAATAGGGAGAGGGGAAAAAGGGACTAACACTTTGAAGAAGAAGAGTAGTGAGCAGTGAAGAGGAAGGTTTTAAGTTGAACTTTAAAAGAAGAGAGGGTAGAGGAGTCATGAAGAGATTAAGGTAGAGAGGTCCAAAGTTTGGGAGCAGCAGCACTGAAAGACCTGCTGCCCATGGTCAAGAGTCTTGTGTGTGGGACAGCAAGAATTCCAGTGCCAGAAGATCTGAGGGAGCTAGGGGGACATTACAGATGAAGGAGTTCACTAAGGTGTATAGGGGTGAGACTGTGAAGAGCTTTGAAGGTTAGAATGAGAAGTTTATACTTGATACATGAGGATATTGGCAACCAGTGAAGCTGATGGAGTGATGTGTGCAACACGCTTGGTAAAAGTGAGGACTCTGGCGGCGGAGAGATCGCTACAGATGGTATTGCTATGCTAGCAGGGACTTGTTGCTTCTGTCGTTTTTGCTGTATTCTGCATGTGGAGCAGAATGTCATGGTATCAGACCTGTAGTGAAGAAGTACCCCCTCCTGATACTTAGCATTAACATAGATTATGAATCACTTGTCTAATGTCCCTTGTAGAAAAGTTCCACATGGCCAACATTTCCACTATTAATCTGCTGCTGCTCAAACTGTTTGAACGTGTCTGCGCTGAACTGAAGAGGGAAAGGGGAAAAAAACATTTTCATTAGCATTCAAATGATTTGTACTATTTTAGATTTTGACACTTTGTTCAAGGTCTGTCAGTTTTTTTTCTGTGAAAGATTCTCTTAGGGACAAAATAATCTTTTGTTTTTGGTGGTCGCAATTTCGGTGCGTCCTTACAACTGCTTTGGACACAGAAAATTTTCCTCCAAATATGGCACTTTTGGTCTTCATTTTAAAAAACAAGAGGCCAAAACTTAAATAAAACCCACAACAAAGTGTTGAAAATGGCTAAAAAAGTTGATTTTATGAAAAATTCAAAAGCACAATGCATATTGTGTATCGAGAAAATGTCTTGAAGTATCATGATATTAAATATTTAACATATTGCCCACCCCCAGTTCAGTTCTGTTGAAAAACTGTTTCAGTTTTTTGGGCTGCTAGTTTGAGCACAGCCTTGGAGACACTAACAGTTGGAGATTTCCATTTTTAAATCTGCACCATTTTTAAAAATAGAGTTAATAACTGTCCAGAAAACTAAATCATAGACTACTTTAAAAGAACTGCAGGTCAACAATGCATCAAAGACTGGGATGCACTGTGCAGTGCTATATCTACTCTGAAGACTTCTTTCCACACCCTTTGAGTTTGCATATCGCCTCAGTATAATCCTATTTGTAGCGGAGAGCTGCTGCCTTGGGCCACAGTAGTTGTCTAGCTCTCCACATCTGTTATCAGTGAAATGGAATAGTCGGAGTCAATGTTTCTGTTACAGGGAGGTGAAATGCTAGAGGAATGTCTTATGTGTTTGTATTTAAAGGATCTGCTTACTGCAGAAACTTCCCCAAGTTGGCATATTACAAATTTTCTTATCTCAATGGACTCAGTGGACAGTATACCAGAGATGTGGAACTGAGGGCCAGAGTCCAGCACAGTTTGGTGATTTCTCTGCTTTAACATACCAACTAAACCTAGTAACTATGCAACTATTTAAGCTGACATTAATTGTTATCGAAGTCTAACAAAAATATCATGTATCTTACAAAGCACACAAAGTGAAGTGAAGAGTGCCAAGCTGATCTGGGCAGTTGCACATCCTGGTCACGTCAGTGGGGAGAGAGCCGCAAACGTCTTCCAGGTAGTGTCTCGGCAGGAGGGCGCTCCCAGGTGGCCAATTCACAAAACAGGCTGCATTGTATTGTGCCTGGTCCAAAAAGCAGACCGAAACACTACTTATAACTTCTAATAATTGAATGGGCGGGGCTACGCTGCTGTAGGCTGAATAGATGAATATAAAGCTAGAAGGAAAAAAAAAGAAATTCAGTTTCGCATTATATGAGTAGCTTATTCAGGCTGTGGCAAATCACCCAACAGTATTCATGTACACCAACAGGAACTTGCAGTAACCTTAATCTAAGGATTCAACTTCAAATATGCCAATAGTTAACAGATTAAATCTGCCCTCTGTGTTATTTGCGCTGCCAAGATGATATAATCTCTCCTTTCTGCATGAAAGGATATGCCATTACATGATGATTATAGAGTGTTGTATTAGGACCATGGCTTAATTAACCTTAGAGCTATTGATACTGGCTTTCTTCACAGTAATGTTTTCCATACTGCATGGCAAATAGTGCACTTCAAATCCACCACCATCAAACGCTACTATACCGCAAACCTACCTCTATGTTTGCATTCAGGAATTCTCTCTAGCCTCTTACAGATGGGCAACTGGCGCAGCTGCCGAGGGTTAATACAACTGAGATTGATAAGATTTTCAAAACATATGTTGGAAACAGTTTCTGAACTGTACTGCCCACTGACTTAATGACTACTCTGTATCTCCAAGAAGTCATTTCAGCTGACCTCTAAGTGGTAGAATAAAACTAGAGGAATGACCTTTACAAAGTATTGTTAATGTCATGCACATCAAACGGTTACATAGGCCTTTAGACTCCATCTCTGTCACTCTAAACACAATGTGGTATTTGGCAACACCTCTATAAACAGTTTTAGGAACATTGTGATTGGTCTGTGGTTCATAGCTCCTAGGAGTGTAGTTGGAGTTGCATTGATCAGCCAAGACATGTCTGGTGTTTGTTTTTTTGGTTTTGCACTGGATCTACACCCTTTCGTTTATTCAATTTCCAGTCAGAACAGTTATCCAGTACAATTTATTCATTTTTCAGTGTCAGGAAAAACAAGCCTCAGCAGCCAAATATCAAGTTGTTCAGTGCTTAGTATGTCCAGTCTTTATAATAGCTTCCATTCTTTTCAGGAAGCTTGCTTTCAGTTTTTCAAAGAAACCTGCTGGGAATTTTTTCCATACCTCTAAAGTTCAGTCTTAGAAGTTGGTTGCATTTTCTGTGTATCATGATCCAAATAATCTCAAACATATTCAGTGATGTTGAGATCTGGACTCTGGGGTGGTCAGTCCATTGTTGAGATCGCCAGCAACTTCTTTGTTTAATTTGCAGAATTTCTTCTTTTTTCTTGACAGCTGCACATGCTTTAGACTGATAGTGCTGAGCTGTCTTCTCAAAGTGAAATGATGGACAAAAACAACATCAGATCTGATGCAAGAGTGGAGGTTGATTTCTTTCATATCTGTCAAAGATGAAAGGTTTAAATGCAGTTTATATGATGTGGACAGTTTTTGTGGTCTACCAGGTCTTGCATGGTTGCTAGGAGTCCCATTTTCTGTACATCTTTTACTGTACTTTTTTTTTTGGCTTTAGCTTTGGAAACTTCCTTTGACTTTTGCTTTCATTCTGCAAGTGGATGAGTGCCTTGTATAATAAATAAATGTGTGACTTTTTCTGGCTATTTCACAGAATTGTATGTGCCTAATGTAACTAACAAGCAATGAAAGTTTACACATGACCATTTAGTACTGAGCAAACTGCAGGCCTAAATCATCACACAGTTGCCTTAAACCACACTGAGTTGTTCAGTAGTCTCAAGCACACTTGCTTGTGTGGTTTCTGACACTGTGTGAAGTACTGCTGTCTAAGAAATGCACAAAATTATGTTGCATAATTGCTTAAAACATCCAATATCTTTTAAAAAAGTCAGAGTGTGATTAATTTTGTAATTATCTTTTAATAATTATCTAACAAAAATGTAATATTGAATTTAACAGCAATAATAATTTTGGACTCCTGAGGATTGAACCCATAGGCACACCACCTCACAGTGATAATGCAGCATTTATTTTCATGCAACTCATCATCTACTTTTTCAGGAACGTATCGCCCTATGGCACGAGCAGAACGACCGCTACAACTCAGACCTGAAGAAATTCAAGCAGCAGGCTTCAGAGCTACTGGAGAAACTGGGCAAGGACCACGCCAAACTGCGGCTTGACCTGGAGGGCGCAGGAGTGCGGGTGGACCGTGTCGAGCGAGAGATGGACTACATTGAGACCAAGAACCCACCCAAACCATGCGTTAAAGCAGCAGATAAAATGGTGGAGCAGGAAGCAGTGGTCAAAGAGAAGAAGAAAGAGGAGTTCTTTGAGCTCTCTGGTGAGCCACGGGGGGCTTGGGGTGATTTAGGGGCAAATACTGAATGGGGCGGGAGCAGCCATGGCCCGGCTCAAAGAGTTGGCTGTTTGCTTTTGATCATGTACCTTCGATTTCAGCCCTGACAGGTTCTTGGCGCGTGAACCTTAGGCTATATTTAACTGCTCATTAAGTTCTACACTAGTGTTGGCAGCATTTTCTCTGGAAAATGACTACACTGGAAAAGGAGAACAAACACTGGGTTGATTCTTAGCTGTATTTACTGGCTACATTAATAGAAAGGCAGGGGAAAGTCTTTATAAGATTCCAGACTAGGGGAGGGTGGTATGATATGTGTGATTTATTTGAACATCAGTTAAATAATTTGAACATGTGTGTAACTAATGGCATTATGCATACCAAATGTGTTTTCGCAAACATTTATAGCAACATAAAGTCACTTGACCAGTCATTGTTGTCTGGCATTGGCATGAGATAACCAAGAGGATGGATCAGCCCTTAGAACTTTGGGTAGCAACCCAAACAGCTCAGTTATGGGCATCCATGCTACAGTGGTATGCTAAACGGTGGGCGCCCCTGGTCATATCACATGTGTTGATTTTCTAATTGAATCAAATGGTAATCAACACTGCAAAAAATGTAATCTTGGCAAGTGAAATTGTCTAAAATCTAGTCAATATATGTAATATTTCTCATTTTAGATTGTTGTAAGCATATTATATGAGTACTTCAGTTATCTGACTGGACATTTTTACTTGTGTTAAGTAATTTTAGTCAAATGTTGGCAGATGATTTTGCTTGTTGTAAAAAATATGCCATATTGCTAATATAGTGAGATAAGTATTTTATGTATAAGTATGTAATATATAAAATATTGGATAAATTAACTAGATCATTTCACTTGACAAGATATAATTTTTTGTGAACCTTGACTTTTTAATTCAGTCAAACAAGACATTTTTCTCTGTAGCTATATTGTCAGATGAACTGTCAGATGAAGATACTGTTGTGACACTGCATTGAGCTGCTAGTGAGCAATGATGGGTGAAATGGGAAGGGTGGGAACCTTCTGCTGTAAAAGCATAGCACACCTCTCCACAAAGATGGCTGTGCTGAAATAAAATATTCAGCCCAACTGCAGCTTTCCTCATGTTTAACTTCGTAAAAGGCCAGGGCCCACTGGTGAGCATGAAGCTTTATTACACATTTCTATAAGATAAGAATAGCTCAACCAGTTTGCATTGGAATGCCTGTAGTTACTGATTAATAAGCCTTAGTATGTAATAAGCCTGAGATTTTAAGGGGTTGATCAATGCTGTACAACTGTTGCCATAAAAAACCGGATATACACACAATAAAGCATTTTTATTAATGTTGACTTGTTTGTCAACATGTCTGAAGAGGAAGCCAGTTTCCATCAAAATATATTCTATTAACAATTTGAAAAACTAAATTTGCATAGGTTATCTGTGGGACCTTCACACCAACCAGAAATTGCATTTTTTTGGCTACTGTGAAAAGGAGTTAATACAACTTTTGTGCAGCTGTAGTTCACCCCTATGTTGCACAGCACTAATGAGGGAATAGGGATCCATTTTGGTCACAGCAAATGTCTTGAGTTATTGTGATGTTATATTTCTCATTGTCATATCGCCCACCCTTATTCCAGGCCATGTGCTTTGTTAAGGCTTGTTTGTGTTTTTTTGAGGAACAAGCCCAATTATAGCTTACTGTGCCAAGAGACTGTGCTGCTGTGTTGCTTGGAGCACTGCTCTCTTGACTGCAGAGGTCAGTTGAGGTTCTGTTCAAGCTCAGCTAGCATTAAAAATGTCCTCCATCATTTGTTGGATCCCTCTTGTAGGAAGCAGATGCCGTGTGCCTCCAGGCTGCAATATCCTATTGATTAGAAGACAAAACAAAGAGCAGTGGCTGCAGTGAGTCAGACCATTCCCTCAAGAAGTAGACTCACTTTTCCCCCCTTAACTGTCATAAATCACTTGAAATGTCACACCTTTGCAACAGCTGCCTTTGGCAACGCTGTACACCTTGCGGAAGTGTCAAATGCGCTCCGTCCCAACTTGAAAAAATATGGCCTCAGGTTTTACTGATAGCGCACAGCTTTTAAACATGCAAACATAGCACTGAAGCAGAGAGGTCTCGCTGTTTTAACGTCCTCCTACTAACAGTGATTTCCGGGCTGCCTCAATGCTTTCATCTTGGCCTCATTTCCTTTACTTTAATATTTTTTCTCCCTTCAAAACTCTGGGTAAAAAGCTTCAGGAAGGAAGGTTTACTTTGTTGCTTTCAACTGAAAGATTCACCGCCTCAGGCAAGATATGTGCCACGGACACTAAGAAGAAAAATTGTCAAATATCCAAAGCTTTCTTACAGGTCCACAGTGACCTGAATTATTAAATATTGGTGAGTTCTTTTTTCTCAAGGTAGAGCATAAATTAAACCAAATGTGGTATCAGTTGATAGTTTGGAATTCACCCTTTCAACACAGTTCCGCTGCTTGTCATTCATTGAGAGTTAAAAGTATGTTTTTATTATTGCTGGTGATAACTTCTACACTGTTAGAAATAAAAGTGCTCTGCGGGGCATTTTTCGTTCATCAAGGTACAAACAATGTAAATGTACCCTCAAAGGTACAACAGTGGTTTTAAGGTCCAGTTGTGTACCTGATGTTTTAAAACAGAACAATAAAATAAAAAGCCTGGAGACGAGACGGGGTGTGTGGAGTCAGTACAACTTAGAACTTAAAATTTCAATGGATTATGCTACAATTATGTTCCCCTGACTAAAGGTACTGAGATGTACCCTTGAGGGTACCACCCCGGTGACAAGAGAGGTACTGCCCCAGCAACAGTTTCATACCTTTTTTTCTGAGAGTCTAAAGGCTAACAAGCTGGTATCTTGGGTTTGCTCCTGAACCTTGATGAATGATTTATTTCTTTACAGTTTGCCTTGACATTGTGTCAAACATCCGAGCGATGAAGATCCTGAAAAGGGTGGGCAGCACCAAAGGAGTCTGGACCAAAGATTCTAGGACCGCCAAGGTCTATGTCTTCAATGGAACTTCAGAGGATATGGTGTATGAGTTCAACTCAGTGAAGGAACTTTCGGCATCACTAGGAGTGTCCAAGGGCAAGCAGATTATCCTCCCTTCCTTCTGGAATGGAACTGGACATGCTGTCTACGATGGCTTCCTGTACTATGTAAGCGAGAGATCAGAGTTGCAGGTGGTCAAGTTTGATCTAAAGAATGGTTCAATGGCAGACAGCGCTGTTCTTCCAGTGGAGGCCCAAACCCCAGTCTACAGCCTCAACCCTGAGACCCTGGTGGACCTGATAGCGGATGAGGATGGTCTATGGGCTTTGTACCCTGCGGGCGACACCATCAACCTGGCCAAGATGGACTCTGACACTTTGGACATTGAACAGATGTGGGACACATCGTGCCCTAGGAACAATGCTGAAGCTGCCTTCATTGTGTGTGGCACGGTGTATGTGGTCTACAACACCAGGCCCCCAAGTCGTTCCAGGGTACAGTGCGTATTTGACGTGAATGACATGGTGATGGGTGAAGAAGCCCCATTGCTGTACTTCCCCAGGCGCTTTGGTGCTCACTCCAGCCTCAAGTACAACCCTGTGGAGAGGCAGGTTTACGCATGGGATGATGGTTACCAGATCCTTTACAGGCTGGCCCTGAAGAAAAAGCTGTGGGCGATAGCGCCCCCACCAGAGGAGTGACTGCTACTGCAAAGAGCACTTATTTAGACTGCAAAAAATGCCTGACCAAAACGATTGTACTGTACGAAATCATCTTTATAAATGTAGTTATTGATTTTCTCACATTTTATAAAACAAAATATGTAAAATGCAGTAAAGTACATTAACATTTCATTATGATTATCTGGTCATTATGGAATAGTGCATTGGTAAGTCTTTCACCTTCAGCACATTAAAATCTAAGGTATTGATTGGAAAAAATCTAAAATACTAATTTTCCCCTTTACCCAGCTTAAAAATCTATTTGGTTTTTGAGGTTTGCTTCTTTACATTTGCACTGGAGCTACAGTGCTAATTAAGCTAGTTAGTAATTAGCTTAAGTCAGCACCAGACCAGCATAAACCAGCTTAGATCAGCATGGAAATCATGTTGGTCCATGCTTTTTTTCAGTAGGGTTACAGGGTCAGAACCACAGTATATTTGACATTACTTCACAACTCTATGTGGTTTGAGGCAAATATGTGATGACTGAGACATGCAGTTCATTACTTGTTAGCTACATTAGCTATATAAAGAAATTATTTCATAAAACTATTCCTTTTAGCTGTTGTAAACATGGGGACAGGTGTGGTTTACTACAACCCCATTTCCAAAAAAGTTGGGATGCTGTGCAAAATATAAATAAAAACAAAATCCAATGATGTGCAAATAATTTAAACCCTAATTGATGCCAACAACAAAAAAGCTGGGACAGGAATAACAAAAGGCTGGTAAAGCTGTGTAATCCTAAAAAAAAAAAAACTGGTGGTTGATTGGCAACAGGTCAGTAACATGATTTGGTATAAAAAGAGCATCCCAGATAGGCTGAGTCTTTCAGAAGTAAAGATGGGGAGGGGGTCACCAAATAGTGCAACAATTCAAAAATAACATTTCCCAACATAAAATAGCAAAGAACTTCTACTTTTCATCATCTATGGTACATAATAACATTAAAATTTAGAGAATCTGGAGAAATCCCTGTATGCAAGGGACAAGGCTGAAAACCCATATTTGCTGGCCATAATCTTTGGGCCCTCAGACGGCACTGCATTAAAAACAGACATGATTATGCAGTAGAAATCACTGCATGGGCTCTGAAAACCACTATCTGTAAAAACAGTGTGTTGCTGCACCCACAAATGCAAGTTAAAACTCTAAAATGCAAAGATGAAATCACATATAAACAGGATCCAGAAATGCTGCCACCTTCTCTGGGCCCAAGCTCATTTAAAATGGACTGAGGGGAAGTGAAAAAGTGTCCTGTGATCCAATACATTAAAATTTGAAATTGTTTTTGGAAATCATGGACACTGTCCTCCAGTCTAAAGACCACTCAGCTTGTTATCAGTGCACAGTTCAAAAGTCAGTATCCGTGATGGTATAGGGGAACATTAGTGCGCATGGCATTAGTGACGTGCACATCTGTGAAGGCACCATTAATGCTGAATGATATGCAGGTTTTGGCAACATATGCTGCCATCCAAACGAAGTCTTTTTCAGGAAAGGCCTTGCTTATTTCAGCACCACATTCTGCATTACAACAGCATTGCTCCGTATTAAAAAAGTCCAGGTGCTAAACTGACCTGCCTGCAGTCCAGATCTAACACCCACTGAAAACAATTGGCGCATAATGAAATAAAATTTACAACAAAGGAGACCCTGAACTGTCGAACAGCTGAAATCCTATATCAAATAAGAATGGAATAACATTTCACTTTCAAAACTACAGCAGTCAGTCTCCTCAGTTCCCAAATGCTTACAGAGTGTTGTTAAAAGAAGAGGTGATGAAACACAGTGGTAAACAGGCCCCCGTCCCAACTTTTTTGGAACGTGTTGTTGGCATCAAATTCAAAATGGGCATATACTTTTCAAACAACAATAAAATTTCTCAATTTCAACATTTGATATGTTGTCTTTGTAGTATTTTCCTTCAAAAGTATGGTTTACATGACTTGCATATCATTGCATTCTGTTTTTATTTACATTCTGTACGGCGTCCCAACGTTTTGGAAATGGGGTTGTAAATGTCACTACTGGTGTAATGAAAAATGGACATTCTAAAATGCTTGACATACAAAAAGCTTAACATAATTTTTCCTCCTTACAAAAGCTAAATGTGAGTTGATGTACTAAAACGACCTAAGACACCAAATTGCTCTCAAATTGTGTTAGTAAATTAAACCACGTTTAGCTTTTTTCACATTAAGCTTTTAGAATATTCCACAAAAATAGTTAATGATGTCAAAAATTGACACAGGATTCTCGCAGGGTAAACTTCTCCCATGTGGAAATAGTTATGCCTCAGCATTAGCATGGACATGATTGAGAAGTCTGAAGCAGTGTGGCTAGGCTAACTATGATAGCTGACATTCAGAAAAGATATTTCTCTGTTCTCCATGTTACCATGGCATACCGAGGTGTTGGTATATCATTCACTGTGGAGAAAGTAAGTTTCCTTATGTAGAGGTGACCGCCCATCATTTAACATCAGTTACACTGTTAGCACTAGCATTAGCTCACTTACTGATTTAATCTGCAGTGGCTAAAGGATTTCCCTTCACTCTTGAATAACTGAGGCAGTTTTTGAATTTAGAAATGAACTGAGTGGTCTTTTTTGGCAAACTACTTAAATACAACCTTTTTGGCCGTACTGCTCCATGTTCATTGCTAATGTCAACTTTTTATGAGAAATTTCTGTGCATGCAAGTTTAAGCTCAACGTTTTACACCCCAATTCTCTTTTGAACGACTCTCATTTCTCAAATGAATGTTTGAGGGGGAACTGAAGTGCAAGAAATGAAGAAACTGAACCGCAGGGATGTAACTAGAGCTTTTAAAATGGGGTGGCTAGGTAGAACCCAGAAATTTATTTATTATTATTTATTTGGTGGCACCCAGCTGGGAAAATACTAAATAAAATAGTGTTAATGTATTCAAATTACATAAAAAAATTATGCATTGTTTTTCTTTTGGTCATAATCTAAATCTCTCCATCATTTCCACATGAAAAAATATTACAGCAATACAACTGTTGCCAAAAGTAAACTGAAAAACAAGACTGTGTTTAACATATTTCACTCAATCATGAGGAAAGTATGTATTTGAATCAAGTAAATTAAACACCACTTTTTTCAGTGCACAGCACTAGTTATTAATTTAGACTGCCTTCGCTACTATCTAATCTAATAATCAAAAAGCTTCAGAAATTCTCACTTTCCATAACTGGGGTGGCCAGAAAGGTGGCCATGCTTCATTCCAGGGGAAAAACTGGCCACCCCCGGCCACCCCTTGGCTATGCCCCTGCTAAACCGACAGCTTTATTTTTTCATGTTTGAATTCCAACAGCTTTATTACAAATGCAAATCTCAATACAAAATTGGAAAGTAGTTGAATTTACAGGAGAAAGAGGCTGAGAAACCACACAGACCATGAAGTAATTTATACCCATTTCACAGATTTCACTGTATCAAAAACAGTATCTACAGAAATTAACTGAGCTTTTGTTTCTGTTCTGTGTCCAAAATTCTTTTCCAGTCTACCTAAATACAACATTTTTGGCTGTACTGCTCCATGTGTTACCTCTTTATGAGAAACATCTGCTTATGCAAGTTTAAGCTCAACTTTTCACAGCATCAACTATTTTGTTGCACCAGTCTGAATACTGCTCTCTACATTCGAGTTGCAACACTTTATCTACTGGGAAAATTTAAATCTTACAGCTTTCTTCATTTCACTCCTTTTCTTTTGACTAAGTTTCATGTCTCAAATGAGTGTATGATGGGCAACTGGAGTGCAAGAAATGAAACGACTGAACTGACAGCTTTATTTTCTCATGTTTGAAATACAAGAACAGTTGTTCAACAGTTGTATTACAAGTACAAATCTTCAATATAAAATTGGAAAGTCGTTAAATTCACAGGAGAAAGAGGCTGAGAAACCACACAGACCATGAAGTAATTTGTACCCATTTCACAGATTCCACTGTACAACAGGAACACATTGTGTCTATATTGTCTGAGCCTGAGGACATCATAAACATTGTTAGAACAGGTAGGAACCAAAAAACGGTACATCAAGTCAAGTCAAGTCATCAAGTTACCTGGAGTTATTCATGTGTCTGCCAAAATATTCAATTCATTTAATCACATAGAAATGTGTAAACCTCAACAACTGTAATGTAATGGAGGATGAGTTCTAACGTGAAGCCCAAGTGTTGTATTTATTTCCAGACTGTAGCATCTGGAATTTGTGGACTTCAGGGAACATTCTAGACCCTAGAGCACTATCCACCATATTTAGGCAGAAGCATCTGAGACCATGTTGGATGACACGCTCTGCAGCCTCAGGTATGTCCATCAGGATTGATGTCTCATAGGTCTTCGGCAGATGTTAAGTTCATCGGAGTCCAGTGTGCTCCCCAATGTTCCTCTTTGATTTAAAACTCACAGGGCAGTACCAGGATGACCGGGACTAATGCAGTTCCCATGCATTCTCCACTCCACTCCAGGTTCTCTGCCAGTAAGTAAAATAGCTTTTTAAGCATGTAAGAATGTCTGGAGTAACTCTTCTCACACTCATAGATACCACACTATGGTGTAGAACAGAGAAAAAACAAAAATAGCATCTTACTATATTAGATTATTGTATGAATAACATGGAAACAAAGGGAAAAGATCAGCTATTATCATGGAAAAGGTCAACTTCGAAGCACAAAGACCAGTATAATGGCAATTTCCATTTTTTTTTCCTTTAAATAAAAATAAGATCATAGCTTTAAATATTCTGAAGAACAGATTCAGTTCTGAGCACTGCCTCAAAACACTTATGACACCAACCATCTCAAAAACCAGTTGACGGGACACGTACAAAATACATTTGCCTGACTGGACAGCTATTACTAAATAAAATCCTTAGACCTTTTTTTTTTTGCTTTAGATTCCTCTGTATTGCATGTTTTCATGTAGCTACAACTGTTATCCTTCACTGCTGGGTGTTCTTATTACATTTTGTAATGTTTAACTGTAATGGTTGATAATGCACTCATTACACATTCATAAGCACACTATGAACAGGACATAATAGCATTATAATGAATTATGCACTTGCTTTTTCTTGAAGCATTCCTGCAGAATTAAATTATTAAGATGTAAACAAAGTCATTTAGAGGGGTGTGATGTAAAATGATGCACTGTAGAGAACCTTCACATTGGTGGTGATGGGAACCAGGGGTTTCAATATCTACAATGCAAATATAGTCATTTTATTAAATACATAAAGGATCAGTGAACCTACATGTGTCGTATGAGTTTTTATAGGTAATGTTAATGATGGTAAAGAATGGTAAATCTAAAAAAAAACAGTTTTCTTTGGGGACTATTTTGCCGTACAACACCCTGCAGGTTTCTCTCCACCATGAATGCATTGAAAAAGATAAGTTTTAGGCCAAAGGCTTATTTCAAAACTATTGTGAAACAGTGTCTCAGTTATCAGGCAGTGTGTTTGTTACCATTTCATGCAATAACTTTCCTGATGTAGCTTTCAGAGGCATTTAACTCTTCAGAGACCTGGTTCCTATCACCATCACTGTGAAAAAATCTGAGTCATAAGCCCCTCTGAATCACTTTGTTTACATCTCAGTGATTTACTTTTAAACCGTCTGTCGAATTTCCCCTTTAAACCTTTAAACTTATTAAACTTCCTCCAATTTTTCAAAATTTCTGCATAGCTCAATCTTGGAGATGTAAACAAAGTGATTCAGAGTGATGTGAAACTGACCATCTCAGCTCTGTCCCAATGTCTTATAAGGCCATAATACAAATACAGCACTTTTCTTTACTATCCCAAATGAGCAGTGAACCCACACGTCCTGAGTTTTTAAGTTCTGCAAGTACATCATTGCCATGAATAGTTTAAATTAAATATGTTTTAAGCCGAAAGCTTATCTCAAAACTGTCAGAAAACAATGTGTCAGACATCAGGCAACGTATTTATAATCATTTCATGTAATAGCTTCCTGTCGAGTAGCTTTTAGAGACATTTGACACTTCTGGTTTTTAAGAGAACTGTCGTGAGCATTTCTCTACAAGGGAGCATTTCAGATCAGACCACTCTGAATGACTTTGTTCACATCTTAATGATTTAATTATGTAGAAATTTGAAAAAAATTGAAAAAACAATTCACCTTTAACTGAGAATTATATTACTATTTCTCATTTAGTGTCCAAAGAACAGAAATACTGTGTCTAGCTAAGTGGGCAGCAGCCATGCTGTTGTTACAGCAACAATGAACAAATCTCTCATTATCCATAGTGCTTGTTTGTTATGTTCCTGGCAGACTGCATAGTGTTTTCTGTCTCAGTCTACTTTTACGAAGTCTTATAATGCTTTAATATCCTTCTAGTGTGCTCATATATGTTGTCGCTGTAGGAACAAAACCAAAATAGTAACTTTACAGGAGAAGGCGAAACATTCTCACTTTTCAATGTAAGTTAATGTAAAGAGATTTTATTCAAAGCAGTTTTGGGCCATTTCTGTCAGTTCACTCACCATGAAATGTTCACACAATGTAAAGGACGGGTGGTATTTTTGAATAATGTCAAAAAACGACAAAAATGGAAATAAAAGGTTTTGTTCCGGCAGCGATGATGCACAGTATGTTACAGGCGATGAGTTAATGCAGGTAACTCATTGTTTAAGTGTTTAAATTCATACTTAATAATAGTTGCCCAGAAATGTTGCACACTGAATATTTCTTTGATACATTTCTTGTGTATGTTTTAAATCCAGCCGTATTGTTCGTTTTTCCCACTGTACAACAGCAATTCATTTTGTGCTCTCACAGTTTCAGCTAACTAACTGATGACAGTGGTGTGTTACAGTACAGTTGAAGTGGACAGTAGAATAAGTGACAGTAAATGACTGAACAACCTTTTGACAACTTTCCAGCTACAACCAGCAACACAATGAAGTCCAGAAACCGATAACAGCAAATGGAAAAGTGAGTAAAACCTGTTCAGTAGCACATTTTTTAAACAAAAAGTGTTAGTTAAAGAAAGATCAATGCTAACACAAAAAGATGTTACATCTAATCACTTTGAACCTCAAATGCCCAAGATATAACTACATAAATTAAAATTATACAGGTAAATGTATAGTATTCCATTCATGTACAAATATATTCACCAAAGACTTCAAGCCTACAAGTCTTGCTTGGACAGGTCCTTCAAGGGTAAGGAAAGCACTTGAGATCATTGTGCTGTGCTGAAATTGGCAAATGCCTCTTTTTATGACATACTAACACCATTTCTTATAACAACATCAACAAACTCGAGACAGGTAAGTTTTAAAAGTAAAAGTCTCCACTATGTGTACTCGAGAGGAGAGGAAGTGGTTCGTTCATGACATAACAAGTGGAGGTCCCATCTCTTCCTCTGCCATCAGCCCTCAGTGCTATGAAGCTTTGATTGAGTCCTTTTTCTTTAGTCAGCTGTGCTTTAGCTGGGCCCATTCTTCCCTACACCACCCAGACCCTCGGCTCTATGCGATAAGCTGTTCCACCTTTCAAACAACGTGCTCCGAGTGATCATCAAAGAGCTGCTCCCATCTGCGCGCGCAGCTCCTCTGAGAATGCCGCGGTCAGATTTCATTCACCTCGCTTCTGGAGATACTCTTCAAAATGTGGAAAAAAGGGAAAGTCCTTCTGCTAACAAAACCATGCTGTACCAAAAGGCCTGGCCTCTTCAGAGCACATGAGGTGTAATAACTCCGGGTGCGCAAGGCCCCCAAGAACTGATGGGAAAATCAGCTTTTGAGTGAGTCCAACTCCAGAGACGCTAGACAAACACTGCAGGAAACTGATCACAGATCAGCGCTTGGGAGCCACTGTCAAGGAAAACCTGGAGACGGCTGTTGTTTTCTGTTTTTTTGTTCTTTTTTTTTTCTTTTCCTTGAGCACACAGACAGTCGGGGAAAGGGGGGCCTCCTGGTGAACATGTGGTTCTGCTCAAGGGCTGGCGGGGGCTTTAGGGGAGGGGCAAGACCCCTGACTGTCAAAACTAGCTGTCCTGGTTTTCCACTAGAAAAGAAAACACGTACAACAGCAAATCAGTGAGGAACAAAACATAAGAACTGAAGTGATTTCAGTGATTCCCCATAAGAAAAGAGGCTGTAAATAGGACAGGATTACCCCCACCAAGCATTCCTGTGATTACCATGTTGGAACAGATCGGAAAGAAGATAACATCCCCTATGTCTATATTTAAATCAGCATTATCATACTTCCCTGATGAATTATTCATACTGCAAAGCAGAAGTTTGGCGAAGAGTCAAGAGGGATGTGAAGATTTTCAAAGAGCTGGCAATCAGCATCGGGGTGGATTTGAAAGATTAGATTTTCGTTGGAATACATTTCTTATTACTCAGTGTAAACACTGAATTACAAAGTTAATCATGTTTCCACCCCTCTGAGGCTCGGCTGTGTTTGTTTAAGCCTACAGTATTTTCTTATGTGGAGATTAAAAAGCGACTAACCTCTTTTTCTGATTTCTTGGGCTCCAGAAGGGGGTGCCAGTGTGCAATGGGTTTGCGGGGGTATGCCAGCATTTCGTTCCAGTGGTCTCGGCCCAGTCCCTCGGCTCCACACCCGACACGGTTCACGCCAATGATTTCGTTATGACCCACCCTGAAGATAAAGGGTGTTTAGCTTTACCTTTGCCGTACGGTACCGTGCAAAACTCAGAGATCCTTCATTTATTTGATTTCCAGTCAAAACGAACATTAAGTACAAGTTATTGAGGAGTTTTCTGAGGAGATTAAATATACACCCGGAAGGAGAAAGTCAGAGAATAATAAGTGGAAAATCAGGAGTTTCCTAAATTGGAGTTAAAATTGGGACTACTTGAAAATTCAACCAACTTTTAAGACTGAACTTTGGAGGTGTGGAAAAATATCCCCGCAGGTTTCTTTAAAAACCTGAAAGCAAGTCTCCTGAAAAGAATAAAAATTGAAATAAAGGCAAAGGGTGGACATACAAAATGCTGAAAAAATATGTTATATTTACTTGTTGAGTCTCCTGTGTAATTTTCAATTAAATATTTGTTTTCCACTTTTCTTCCTGATTCTGAAAAATGAAAAACGTGTATTTTGACTACAAATTAAATCAATGAAGTCACTGACTTTTGCACAGTACTGAATATCCATTCAAGCTAGGTCACATCCTGGATCTTGTCATCACTAAAGGTTTAAAAACAAAGGTGTCTAAAATCTCGGATGTTTTCTTATCAGATCACTTCTGTATTTTCTTTCAAATCAATTTAGAAGTAAAGAAGAAAGTGCCTGAAAGTTATTTTAAACCACGTTACATTGACTCAGAAACAGTTGAAAAGTTTAAAACTGTTTATAATAGTTCAGCGAATACAGATACGACTCCATCCTGTAATGATCTAGTCTCCGATCTAAGTGCTAGATTACGGGAAAGCCTTGACCTTCTCGCCCCTATAAAAAGGAAGAAAAGTTCGCGCACTCTTAAAAATCCATGGATGAATGCGGAAATACGCCAACTTAAGAGAAATTGTCGTAAATCAGAGCGCTTATGGAGGAAAAATCCTTTTTGCCACTATAGACTGACTAATTAACCCTAACTTCTCTGCTACTGCGTTTATTGATGATTTATCTTCTAATATCTGTGAAGAGTTCGCAATTCATTTCCAAAATAAAATAGACCTGATAAGACAGGGTGTAGCTCAGCAGACGCGAACAAGCTCCTATAATGTTCCTGATAGGTCACCTACATAAGTAATCACATCTTTCTCTGTTATCAACTATGAGGAGCTCACAACTATTTTAAACAAAGTTCATCCACGTGTGATCTTGACCCTGTTCCTACTTCATTCCTTAAGATGGTTTTTGATTGTGTGCACAATGATGTTTTAACTATTGTAAATTATTCTCTGTCAACAGGTGTTTTTCCAGATGCTTTCAAAACTGCCCTGGTGAAGCCTCTGCTAGAAAAGAGTAGCATGGATCCTTCCATACTAAATCATTTTAGACCAATTTCAAACCTACCTTTTCTAAGTAAAGCCTTAGAATACGTATCTAATATCAAACAATTTATATGAGAAGTTTCAGTCAGGTTTTCGTTCTAACCATAGTACAGAGACAGCATTGATTCACGTTATGAATGACCTCAGCCTCAGCGATGATGCACAAAATCCTTCTATTTTGGTTATATTAGATCTTAGTGCAGCCTTTGATACTGTTGACCACAAGATTTTACTCCAGCATCTTGAATACTGGGTCGGCCCCTCAGGCATAGTTTTAGAATGGTTTAAATCATATTTAAGTAATAGGCATTTCATGGTTTCACTTGGAAATCATTCATCAAAATGATTTGCCGTTTCTTGTGGAGTCCCCCCAAGGTTCAGTCTTAGGGCCTTTGCTTTTCTCTTTGTACATGCTACCTCTAGCTGATGTTATTAGGAAACATAGTATAAATTTTCATGTTAGCTATGCTGACGACACCCAGCTATACATTTCTATTCCTTCTGAAGATCAAGACTCTGTAGACAGACTAATCAGCTGTGTGTCAGATATTTCTCAGTGGATGTCGCAAAATTTTCTACAATTAAATCATGAAAAAGCTGATTACTGATTGTTGGTACAGAAACTCAGAGAAAAATGATTTTTGAGAAACTTGGTTCTTTAGCTTCATCTACCAAGCCTGAAGTATGAAACCTGTGTGTGATCTTAGACTCTGAGCTCTGTTTTACCCCACATGTAAACTCGGTCACTAAAGTAGCTTTTTATCATTTAAGAAATATCGCTAAAGTTCGGCCTTTTCTCTCTCAGAGCGACGCAGAGAAACTTGTTCATGCATTTGTTACAAGCAGACTCGGCTACTGTAATGCTCTTCTTGAAGAAAACTACACATCCCTTACAACTTGTAAAAAATGCAGCAGCACGCATCGTAACAAAAACAAAAAAGAGAGATCACATCACTCCCATTTTGAAAGAACTGCACTGGCTGTCTGTATCATTCAGGATAGATTTCAAGGTTCTGCTACTAGTCTTTAAAGCTCAAAACAACCTAGCACCTACTTACATCACAGAGTGTCTGTCTGTTTATGTTCCAGCACGTAATCTAAGATCTGCAGATAGTGGCCTTCTACAGATACCCTCTGTAAAATACAGAAAACATGGAGAGGCCTCTTTCAGTTATTATGCTTCTAAACTGTGGAACTCAATTCCACCTTTTATTAGACAGTCAAGCTCAGTGCTCACTTTTAAGAAGCAACTAAAAACGTATCTCTTTAAATTAGCATTTAACTAAAACTGAATGTCTCGTGGTGTTTATCTTGTAATTTAATCTTCTTTCATTTTCTTCTGATTCTAATTAAGTACTAATGATCTTTTCTATAACTATGTTTTATCACCTGTCTGTAAAGCACTTTGAGCTGCCATCGACATGAAAAGTGCTATATAAATAAAATTATTATTATTATTATTATTATTATTATATATTTTATTGACACAATGCATTATATATCAGAGCCAAAAACAACAGGAATGCGATTTAGGGAGATTTGAAAATTTCATGATGACTGGACCAATAGAAATTCTCCAAAATTATGTTTTACATAAACTTACATTTAAAGCTAAGAACATTTTTGCCATCTAGTGTAAAGTTATTATTTTGGAGATATATGTTTTTATGTGGACAGCAGCGATATGCTTTAAATACAAAAAAAGACAGTCGGTAATCAGCCATATTTAGCAAGACATATTTAGCGTCTTAAGTTTGTTTCTTTAGTTTTGCACTGGAAGAGCATCGCATGGCTTTTCCCCTTCTACTTAGTTTACTTTACGTGAAGTTTAACCTGAGCGTATGGAATTTAAAGTAAATGCTGACGTGCTTTGGAATTTCATCTTGCTTCTCTATGACTCACTACAGTAAAACAACTAAGCGAAAGTGACTGAATATTACCCTAGAGCAGCTAACTCTAGACCTGGAACATTTAGATACAGCTTAAGTGTCCCAACTGTTTAGATGAGTTCAATTACGAAAATTGTGAAAATCTAAAACTACATGGTTTTCCAGAGGCATCTGTAGCTGAATTCCAGAGTGTCTCCACTATGGCATAAAACGCCTCGTTTCTATTATAATGATAGAAAACACCTCATTACGCACATGTTTGCAGCAACATCTGTTAAAATGGTGGGTGAAGTAGCTTCTGAAGATCTTGGTTTATTCAGTATTATATATTTTGAAAAGCATATAAACCAAAAATTGTATAGAAAGTAGGTCTAAGCTGAGTAGACCACGTATATTAGCTGGGGGGGTGGGGTGTGATAAAATTAATAATCATGTTTTTTATCTAGAAAATATTGCACTTATTATTTTTAGATACTGCCCACTCCTATTGCAGTGTTAGCTGTTTACTACTGTCAGCAATAGGCTATAGCCTGATGTTATAACATTGCGAGACATTAGCATGTTTGTAAAATGTAATTTTCATAAGTAGATTATCTACTTTTCCACAGGCCTCACTGTTATAGACCCCATGTTTGTGCACAAGATGATGATGATGTTATAACACAGGTGATCTGGAAAATACTTAATTCACGCTAGTCATAGCTTAATAAGATGCGTAATTGGCAGCCAGTTAATTGCCAACTACTAGCCTGAGGTTTAATAAGAACTTTACGAGAGCATTATAATACCGTCTATACTGATTTGTTATTATCTCTTTTACTGCATTTGTAACCCTACAGAAATAAAGGTTATATTTATGTTATGTACAGTTGTATGCACAAGTCTGGACACCCTGGTCAAATTACATGTTTTGTTGATTTTTGAAGTGATCTGCACTGAATATGTATATTAAAAAATACTGGACATCAGCAGCAGCCAAAAACTCCCATATTGGTACTGATTATACACCAATTATATCTGATTATACAGGAAAGCATTGTTTAGCAGGGCATAAATGCAATCATATCTTGGAACCATTTTCAAGACCAAGCAGTTGACCCATTCATGTTCAAATTGGGGACCAGTCAAAACCAGTGTTTGTGGGAAAACTCCAAAGACACTGAAAACTGAAGTCCATTTAGAAAGACCTATAGCCTATAGTGACTTGCTGCAACATGCTACTGCTTCTCCTTAAGTCAGAATCCATCTCATCATCTGAAATGCAAAGCACATGAAACTCTCCAGATGCCGCTTGCTCTTTTGCCGTGCTGTGTGGTGCCCACATTTGAGACCAAACAGCACTCAAGCCTGGGGACTGTAATAGCGTTTTAACTGCAATAGAAGCAGGGACTCCCCGCTGCTCCTGCTCACTCTGTGTTCCTCAGCCTTCCGACTCCTGACCTTTTCCTCTCTCTGACTGCATGGCGTGCCTCATGTGCAAGCACAAGGTTTCAGTGTGTGTGCCATACTAAGATCTGTCTCGCTCGCTCCCTCTCTCGCTCTTTCTCTGAGAGTCTCAGGGATGCTCAGCCTCTGACTAGAGGCATTATCTCTTTTGAACACAACAAAATAAAAGGTCACAGCGCATGTTAAGTCTGAGCACGACAATACGCTAAGCGCACTAAACCAATACACTACAGCTAATAAATTATAAGGTTATCGAGCTTTGAGTGCAAAATACAGACAATAATAAAGAATACTGAAGTAATATACCCTCTGTAGATTATAAGCCATTTTGGAGACATGATGCCAGATAAAATGTAAAGCCTTAACTGTCAGTTATTGCCAGTAGTAACAAAAGCATGCTGTAATCTGATATTAATGCTGGCTTTACATGGTGAAACTTACATGCAATATTGTGAGTTGCCTAAAACATAATTTCTGAACAACCTGACAGTTAGGCTGCATTCAACGACATTTTGATATCCGTCAAAACGCACAGATACACATTACTCGTTTGTTCATGCGCATGTAAAAGCTTGTTTTTGAAGCCAAAAAAGGCACGCTAGTTTCAATCAAATGGGTTGCCATCGTACTGAACCTTTAGAGCTGGATTTTACAGCTCTGCATGTAAGTTGACAGCTGTCATTCATGTGTCCTCCTACACCTTTTCTTTCTCCACAATAACAGCAAGCTAACAAAAAATAATAAGCAGTGGCAAAGCAGTCGTTTAACAGTTGTTTGTGTTAGCTGGCTAGTTAATGCAGCTGGTTACAGAAACTTTAGCTTTGACAAACTCACATTTATTAGGATGGCTCAGGAAGCTGGCAAAATCCTTGAGCCAGTCAGGGGTGGGGGGTGGGGGGTCTCTGTTTTTACCACACAGTGTTATCGTTGTTTTGATTGGCTGTTTCATAAAACTTGTTTCACAAAGTTGAGCAACCTGCAACTGTTGCAGCTGAGTTTCAAGTGAGTTGCAGGACACTTTACATTATGCAGCTCAAGCAACTTGAGACTTACACTCGTAAGCCAGAGATTCGACACTTGACTCAGACGAGAGACTCGACTTGGACACACAGCCAGAGACTCAAGATTTGACTCTGGCTTGAACATGGGAGACTCAAGACTAGACTCACAAACAACAGACTCCAGACCTGACTTGGACTCTCACAGCAAAGACTCAAGACTCTACTTGAGACTCAGGACTCACATCGCAGTAACTCAACACTACACTCGGATGCACATGCAAGAAACGTGAGATTTGACTCAGAGTCACACTTCAGAGACTCGAAACCTGACTCGGACTTGCACACTAGAGATTCAACATTTGACTCAGAATTGCACATCAGAGACGCAAGATTGGACTCGCAAAAAACTTCAGACACAACTCACACGCTAGATATTTGGCACCTGACTCATACTTATGCCCGAGACTCGAAACTACACTTGAACACGCATGCCAGAGACTTGAGACCTGACTCAGACTCACACTGCAGAGACTCAAAACTTGGCTCGGACTTGCATGCTAGAGATTCAACATTTGACTCAGAATTGCACAATAGAGACTCAAGACTAGACTAAGACTCGCAAAGAAATCGAGATGCAACTCATACGCTAGATATTTGACTCTTGACTTATACTCAAGTCTGACACTCGAGACAACACTCAAACTTGCTTGCCAAAGACTCAAGACTCAACATGGACTTACATGCCAGAGACTCAAGACTGCACTCAGACTCACATGCCAGAGATTTGAGACTTGACTCAGACTCACACTCCAGAGACTCGAAACTCGGCTCGGACTTGCATGCTAGAGATTTGACTCAAAATTGCACATCAGAGACGCAAGACTAGACTGGGTCTCTCAAAGAAATCGAGACACAACTCACACGCTAGATATTTGGCACCTGACTCATACTCATACCCGAGACTCAAGGCTACACTTAAACTTGCATGCCAGAGACTCAAGCCTCGACATGGACTTACATGCCTGAGACTTAAGACTAGACTTGGATTTGGATGCCTGAGACTTAAGGCTAGACTTAGACTTGCATGCCTGAGACTCAAGACTACATTAGGACTCGCATGCCAGAGACTCAAAACATGACTCGGACTTGCACGCTTGATATTTAACATGTGACTCGGACTAACAAGCCAGTGATGTGAAACTAGACTCTGATCTGCAGCCCAGAGACTCGAGACCCAACTCAGACTTGCATGAAGCGACTTGTGAACATATCTGCTTATCTGAGCCTGACATGCGTACAGGTCATAGTCCATGACAGAGATGTGCAGGCTGACTTGGTCCATGCTCTCTGGAGGAATGTCGAAAATTATGGCTTCGTTGTAGGTGGGGTTCAGTGTGTTCTTTTTGATGGTGGTCTTCTTCTTCTTCAAACGTTTCCCATCACAAATGAGAGACACTTTTACGTAGGGATCTGTGGAAAAAAAGAAAACAAGTTTACCATGACTTAGCGTTTAAAAAGACAATCAGCAGTTCAGCCATCTGGTTATTTATAGGCCTATGGAACCCACAGCCCATTAATTAGTCTAGCAAAGTATATACAGTCTGTCTGGTCAGGAAATGAGTAATGGGACATTCTTTATGTGACGTGATAGCTGTGGGTGGGACTTTTCATGTTTTAGTAAAAGAAGAGAAAAGCACCCTCTAGGAAATAAGCCAGTCCACAAATTCTGGGCAAATATGGAAACTTCATTTTGAATGTGTGCATTGGCAGGCTGGCTGGTGGGAGTGCAGAGCACTATGACTAAACAGGATGGCACCCAGACTAATACCTCTGAATCAGGTTGACTTGTGTAGAGTCTAACACAGCAGGTTTACGTATCATATGACGCACATTTCCTATGTCAGTAACTTTAAGTGGCCTGAAAATAAGCACTGGGGGCATTCGCTGCCAATGCGTCATCCTAGCATTCAAGGGGAGCCGTCGAGATTGAACGCTTTAATGGACCAAACAGAACAACGGCCCACTGTAACTACCACATACTGATTTCCAACTTTACCAATCACTTGGAGATTTGAATGATATATTATTTGTATGTCAGTACATTATTCAAGCACAGACTACTCCTAGACTGAGCGGAACAAATGAGAAGGGGTTTACTCTAGCACCAGAAATGCTTTGGGCACACTTTAATAGCTAAGGTTTACTGCATGTGAATTCAATTTGCCAGCCATGCGAAACATTTACTTTTCGGCTGTGTCTACTGTGTAAAAGCCCAGCGCCAGTTTAAGCTGTGATGTTATGAAACATTCACTTTTCGTTTTCATCATTTTGAGCTCATTTTGAATGTCACGTTGTGTTTGCTCATAGCGCATTATTTTAATGATGTTTGAAAACACCAGAATAGAATTTGCCCTATTTGAATATTGTCACTGGAGTGCTGCCAATAAATGAATATGCTGTCAAAAGTGGATTTAGAAAACTACATTTTTCACATTACACACTGCTAATGATAGGGTACTGCAGTCAGAGTGGTTGTTAATAGATTCAAGGAGCATAAATAACACATTTAATATAGAGGAATTATAGTTCTCCTATATTTCAATGTATTAAAGACATTTTAAGACAGCTATAGTAGGCCTAGGTGACTGCAGAGGAACATTTAATAACACTGGTGGTGCTTTATACCCCTTTGAATCTGATGATTTCGACCATGTTGCAAGAGTATTCAAAGAGAACTCAGAAAGAGAACTTGATGAAGGACAAGTCTTCTGAGAATGTAAATGAATGATCTACTATTGTCACCGTATCTGCCTCAGTATAATGCTATTGTCACCATATCTTCCTCAGTATAATGCTATTATCACCATATCTGCCTCAGTATAATGCTATTATCACCATATCTTCCTCAGTATAATGTTATTGTCACCATATCTTCCTCAGTAAAATGCTATTATCACCATATCTGCCTCAGTACAATGCTGATTTTGAATTTGAGAGCTAAACATCAAGCCGGACCTTCTTTGTTAGCGTGTGCATTTTATGTTAATATGTAAAGACGTATAACGTAGATCGAAAAACCCATAAAATCTGACCCGACACCTCTGACTTTTGAACTATACACCACATTGTAGCATGTTTTTTTCTACAGACTCATTAATGATACATATTTTGTAATGTTTTATACTATCTTACTGTTAAAACAATGGATTTTGATGAGGCATTACTAAGCTGCTAGGTTATGGTAGAGTAAAGTGTGAGGAAGATTCTCAGCATTTTCTGTTTAGCATAAGTCTACCGATGGTTCAGATGAGCTGCAAAATTATGAAAACATAATAGTTATTGTTTTCTGACAGGAATCTATAGCTGAATTCCAGAGCACTCCAATATAAAAAAAAATCTAGCTTTTTAATATGTAGAGCATGTGGACATGGCTTTGGAACTTACTCATTTAGAGCACATGTAGTAGTCTAAAGTTTCTCCAGCAGAGGACGCTATTAGCACACAAGTCGCTTTTAAATGCACCATTTAAAGAAAGGAAACACAAATGTATATAACTTTCAAAACAAGATTTTTCAAAAAACACCTTGAGTATTACATCATTTAATGTGATTTTTCAACATGTTCATTAAATCAGTTGATGTCATTTTTAGATATCGCTCAGGCCTGAGCTCTAAAACACACAACTTATACAGGGTGTGATCAACACTACCTGAGTATCCAGTGATGTCCATGGCCTTGAGGTTCCTGCACTTGATAACAGTCAGAGTGAGTCTTCCTGCAGTAGGCAGGTAGCACAGCGAAAACATGATTTCTCCAAGGTCCACGCTCTCCTGTCAGACACACACATATACACACGTACGTGAGCACATCAAGATTATTTAAGGGTGGAAAAACTGAACAGACATGAAAAGCAAGAACCAACTTATTCAGTGACTACTGGAAAAACACGCTGCATTTGACACTGCACAACCGATTCATTCATACTTCACCTGCAAATACAGTACTGGACAATAATTAGAGACCATTATTGATTTTTTTAAATTTAGTACATATTTCTGAGAAGATCAGATATAAGATAATCCATTTGCATGAGGAAGAGGAAAGTCTAAGGAAGATAAGTGATAAAACAGGACTGGGAGAAAACTGGAGTTCAAAAAAATTATTAAAAGATACACAGAAAATGATTTTAACAACCAAGGAAGACCTGGTAGACCACCAAAGGCATTAGGCCATCTCTTCAGCTCTTGAAGTCCTAACGATAGGAGAGCTTGCTTATCTATGTCTGCCTAGATACTGCAGAGAAAAACAATTCCTGATTGGCAAACGTTCTGTTGTTATAAGAATTGAACCCTTTTGTTTCCAAAAGTGTAAAGCAAGTTTAGCACTGTATTACTTGTAGAGTTTAAATACAAGCATGATTCTATTGAATAAATATGAACTAAAAATTACAGACATGCATTTTTAGTCCCCAGACTAGGGGTCTAGAAGGCCCTGAGGGTTCCCCTCTGATTTTCTCCAATTCCTCAAAAATGAAAGCTTTAAGTGCTGTTTATCTGATGGTGACAGTTTTGGTGGGGGTACCATGGTTATGATGTCAAGTTTTTAACAATAGAGGAACCCTTTTGTTGCTATATAGAACCCTTTTCAAAAAGGTGCTATGTAGAACCATCTGCAGCACATTTTCCATCAATCTGAAGAACCATTTCACCGTGCAAATAACCCTTTAATCACGCAAATCATGTTAATGGTTCTATATAAAACACATTTTCTTTACTAAAGAACTCTTGAAGAACCATCTTTTTTAAGTGTGTAGGCTATGTATCTAGGAGGCATCTTGTATTTATGTACGATATAGACAATTCTGCACTTTTAATGCATTATGACCACATTTTTTCTCTACATATTACGCTGACATTTATAAGTTTGGTATGAGTTTCATAGTGACTGCAGGTGCTGAGGATTAGAGCAAAGCTGGAGCAGGCAGTTCCGTCTAATGTGACAATGGAAATCCTTTGAAAATCTTGGAGGAATTTGTTCACATCAATTCTTTCTTTATCTTGCACACTTTTGTGGGGGAAGTGAGGAGGAACTAGAAGTTCTCAACGTCGTTCTCATCATTAAAGCAGAAATGTCAATATTGCACATAGACTATTTACATTCAATACTGCCTATTTACTTGTTTACTTCTGTGCTAATGCAAGTTTCAATTCGAGACGGGTCAAATTCAGACACCAAGTATAACAACTCTGCGGTTCCTATGGATATGATTAGGCTCAGGGTCAAATGATTAGTCCTGGGAAACGTCTTGAAAGGGTATTTGTGGCTGTAGCTTGGCACTTCTGGCTGTGATGGCCGAGTTGAGTTTAATAAGCCGGTGACTCAGCGCTGAGGTCTAAGGGCTGGGCTGTTTGGACAGACATAGCCACTGCGGCCAATTAGCTGTTATGCTTCTCTAAGAAAAGATCCTCTCCTGGACACCACTCCAGCCGGCCGCTAATTAAACGTCAGCGCTCCCAAACGTTTCAGATCCGTCGTCGGGGTGCAGCCTCGGTGAATCCGCCGTCACTTTCCTCAAACCTAATCCAAGCCTGTCGGTTGGAGTCGGGTCAAACAAATGACGAAGACGTGAACCTGTGCGACAGCGACGGTTTTAGAGGCTGAGTCGGCCCACTCTGCCTGGATGCTAAAGAGCGTGGGATGAGGATATCTGGCCATAGCTCCTCAGTTCGTCTCATCCTCGCTACAGTATTAAGAGTGCCGGAAGTTCTAATCACTTTAAATGAGCCAGCTAAGCCGCTCGCTGATGGACAGGTCCCCTGATTCCACTCTTGTTGCGGCTTAACGTCTATCCGCACTCTAAGGTGATTTACTGCTACGCGCGGAGCAGTAATATCCAGGGACGCCGTTTAAAGCTGCTTGATGGAAGCCCCAAATGCCAGACTTGAGAATGAGTGCTTGTTTAAGACAATTGCCTAGAAAGTGCATTTCTCTTTTATAAAATATACTTATGTAGGAGTTATTGAATATTACTGCCGATTGCTGACTATCTAAGGCAAAGCATGCAGGAATGTTACCTCTGTACAACAACATACATATAGGAATTTCTTTAAAAAGGATAGTAAAAGCAAAAGAGGTTACTAGGCAATTACAAAGACTACAGTACTGGGCAAAAGACCATCCTTTTGTTATGCAATTTCCAGTTAAAAAGCCAATTAAGTACAAAAAAACGGGAAATTTATATGCAACAGAAGATTACACGAAAGTCCACTAAGTACTATTGTGTGCAAAAGTGTGCACCTCCAGTCAAATGACATTTTATTGATTTTCTAAGTGAAATTAAGTTAACACATCCTCTACAGAGAACACACAGCACATCATCAGAATATCAGCTCAAACATAGTTTCTGTGAACCAAGTTCATTACTGACCTTATCCTCCAGGGTTTTAGTATAGTGACCTATTAAATCATATGATGAGGGTGAACTCGTGGCAGACCCAGGAACAGAGTCCTCAAGTCTTCGAATACATTTCAAGCAAAATTGAAGCTATTTAGTGACTAAACCACGTGCCTGCTCTTGCAATAGCAAGAGAAAATGTGAAGCAACATTGTATTCTGGGCAAGATTGGGTGTTAAAACAATTTCTTTAGGCAAGATACCCAAGGTGACGCAGCTGGCAGCCAGATCTTTGAGAGGCTCGGTTTGCCTCTGGTTACAAAGATAATGGATATTGATTTGACAAGGTGTTTTTCTGCTGCTCTTGTTTTTGTTTTGTTTTTTTTGGTCAAGCGTGACAAAAAATGTCCCAAATAGTGTGTGAGGAAGCAACATGTGCTTTGAGCTTTTTAAGGCTGGAAATGCCAGACATATTAAGCTTCCCAGCTTGCCAATGAGATGATTCATGATGAAGCAGTCACTATAATGAACGTGAGGCCATCTAAAAGCTATCTCACACCAGCCGTCCCCGGGTCTCTTTCATTTCCTACCATTACTTCTTCTCCATAATTGAACGGACCAAAAGAGCAGATTTTTTTGTCCTGCGGTTGGTCTGATTTCTTGGCAACGAAATGGCCAGGACAAGTAGAGCCACTGCAATGGAGTCACATTATTTTGCCCTTTTCATTCCCATTTAGGAAAGGATTGCATTAAAATGTGTCAGGGTGGGATTTACTGCCTTGTTTTTTGTACTTGGGTTGGATGGTAATAAGTTAAATTTAAAAATGAAGCTAGTATTTATAAAATGTGTCAAATTTCCATGTCTGAACAGCCAAATAAACACATTAATGTTTGAACAGCCAAATAAACACATTCAACTCATTTATATTTTAAAGGGGATCAACCCCTTTCATGGTGAGGGAGCTCACCAATAGATGTTGCTGATAGAAAGAGGAGAAAAATCAGAGGAAGACATGGCTTTGGAAATCACTTGCAGTCTGAAGTTTCCTCAGCATGGAGCTCTATTAGCATGCAAGTTGCCATTAACCTACACCAGAAGGAATTTGATGAAAGCACGTTAGCATGAACATCTGTTAAACAACAGGTAAAGTAGTTTTTAAAACTACTAATAACATTTGAAAAAGCATATGAACTAAAAATAAAGTAGAAAGTAGATCAAAGCTGTAGCGGACATTAACTTAGCCAAAACGCTACAGGCCCAAACACCTCAGAACATGTTGGATTTTGGCTTTCTGTCACCACAACACCAGTCACTTGACTTTTGCTTTCTAAGACATTTGTTTTTATCATCAACACAAGTTTCAGCAGAGCACCAGTTAATCAGAATCTAACCTGCACTGTGGTGGGTGGGACTGCTTGGGTCTGTAGCCTGCTTGGGTCTGTAGCCTGCTCAATCAGACTACAGGTCCAAACTCCACAGAACAGGTTTAAATTCGCTTGACTTCACTCCCTCAGATTTGAATCATTATCATCTAAATGTGTGTCTATCCTTTAATTGGTCAGAAGGGTTAACGGTGCTTAGGGATGCCAGGTATACAGCTTTAGACCAGACAGTATGGTTTTCAACACCGTTATGTGGTTGGTACTGTTGACCGCACGTTACAATGTCTGATCGAGTCCAACTCTAAATGCATTCCCACTTGTTGGAGTAGATAAGGTGCCATTCTAGCACTCTCTCTCTCTTTCTCTCTCTCTCTCTCTCTCTCATTCACTCTAAACTTGGGCAGGGCAGAGAATTAAAACCTGCTGAATAGGTCTCTATGTGCCAAATACTTGAATGTGATTGGTTGAAATGGCCTGTGCTTTTGTAATAGTTTCCTTTTTAAATGTTAACTATTACAAAAGCACAGGTCATTTCATTTCAAAATGAAATATATATTTATATCTAACTACATATTCTTTATGGATCATTCTACCCAATTAGTTCGAAGACTGAGCTCAAAACCCATTTTTGACTTTTAACTGACTTAGACTTCAGACTAAAATCCTTTTGCTTTGAATGACCCTACAACTTATGTTAATTTTATTTAAACAAATTATTTAACATTCTATTTTGTTTCGTAAGCAGCGACAATTTTAGTTAATTTTGAGAATAACTCAAAACCACTAGTCAGTACATGACAACTTGAGCAGCTGTACACACAAAAAATTCTTATTCTCCTTTTCATTATAACACAAAAAAAGTTTACTTAACTGCAGAAAAGATGTGTTTCGGTAGTGACAATGATTAATGTTACACACTGATTTTCAGACTTCGGGACACATTTACTTGGGACAATGGGATCTAACTGCTCACTATGTGACCATGAGGGACAGGGATGCAGTCTCACCTTCTGCTCTAAAATGTAGGTGTGTGGCTAAAATAAGACCCCACCCA